TAAAGAATATCTCTTTTGATAAGAGTAGGGAATTTTTCTATAAAGAAAGTATGTCCTTACATGAGTGCTTTCATCATTGCCTGGTCAGGGGTTAATAAGGAATAGATTGGTTACACTGCATAATGCAAAAACGAAATGTCGAAATACCAGCAAGCCCAACATTCAGATGTTTATGGTTTAGGGTTATTTTTTGGGGGGATAGAAACTTATACGAAAGATGTGTTTTCACCGTTACTTGGCAACAGCAACCCTATCCACTCGTTTTTGACGCAATAAAAATAAAGAAACAAAAATTATATATTAGATATAGGCAGTCCTCAAAAGGTGAGTCTAGACGTTCTCGTTCGGGCAGACCTAACACATCGTTGGTATGCACGTGCAGTTTCAATGCATTCCGCTCAATATTCATCACAAAATTTGGTGTCTTCGAAAAAAAATGTTAGTGCACTTGCATCGCTTTGCAGTTTATTGTAGATGATCATGGATCTAGTACTTTCTCCAAAGAAGATGTTCACTCTGAATTTATTGTAAGAACTCGGAGCTCTATCATTTCCCCACTGAACAAGCGGGAAATTCCTACAAACAGGAAGTGGGCCAATACACATACCTACTACCTTAATAAAGAACACATGAGGCATTGTCAAGAAAGACCTCCTTCAACTAGTCGAGATTATTAAAATTCCACTTGTTTCCATCTGTGACTAGATGTGACTTGCTGAGTACGTATAGCACGTTCATTTCAGCAAGGAGCCGTTCGCGTTGTCCCCAGAACCATGCAGAGAATGCAATCAGCTTCTTCTGAAAAACTCCAGTCTCCATTCCAACAACTCGTTGAATAATACTGCTTTTTTATTGTTGGGCAATCGAGCTGGGAAGAAGCGTTTCTTCACAAAAGAAATGTCGTAACACACTTCTGAAAATTTCAGTGAGAAACAGATTTGACACTGTCTTAGTTAAGGAAAAGACGTACAAGCTGGGAGCCCAATTGTGCTGTCAGAGCTTGTAAGTTTTTTTTGTTTTTTTCTGAACAATGCAAGTATCCCCTTCCCAAAAATATTTACTAGAAATATATAAAGAGTGCCTAGCCAAATTTGTAGAAGTAGGTAGAGAGAGCCTAGTGCCGCGGATCCAGAAACGGAAAGGTGCAAAAGAACATGTGTTGGAAATGTTATTGCTTCTCAAGAAATTTGCTTCGTGTTTGAGACTACGCATGACAGGTTACATTCCCTGCATCGGCACAAATTTCTATCGACTACACACTCGCCAAGCGTGCATTGAATGTCGCGAGGAGTAACCAATTTATTGTCACTATATAACAAATAAAACTCAAGCAAGGAAGTACAAAGTTGAACTGCTACAGCGAGCGATGGCCCCACCACGGTGGTCTGGTGGCTACGACACTCCGCTGCTGACCCGCAGGTCGCGGGATCAAATCCCGGCTGCGGAGGCTGCATTTCCGGTGGAGGCGGAAATGTTGTAGGCCCGTCTTTTCAGATTTGGGTGCACGTTAAAGAACTTCAGGTGGCCGAAATTTTCGGAGCCCTTCACTAAAGCGTCTTTCATAATCATAAAGTGGTTTCGGGACGTTAAACCCCACATATCAATCAATCATCATTACCGTGAGTGGTGGATCTTAAACTCAATGTGATATGAACAATGCGTTCGGAAACGATTGCTGCTGCAGCAAACTAAATGTGCAACGTTCACTGATTGTCTCATTGTACTTATCGCTGCAAACAAGGACAGAAGCGCAACTTAGAGTTAACTGTGAGTTTGTATTTTGATAGCACTTGCTTGTACATGCTGATTGAAATGCAATGGTAGCAATGAAAATTCACACTTCAGCACTGAGTCAAAATGACAATACATTCAAATAGGTCTTACCACAGCGCCGATGACGACAACGAGTCACGAAACAACCTATTATCAGCTGACGTGTCTAAAAAGACGTGAGAAGTTAAAGCCCAATGCAGTATGAACAAACATTTTTCATAATATTTTATTGGTCAGTTGTACTTTTAGAATTCAGTGAGGTGTTACACAGACAGGAAAAGAGAATTCTGAGAGGTCCACACGTTGATATCATGTGCGGCGTTTCATGGTGCTCGCTAAAATAGCAGCGATGTCAAAGCAGCTTCGTTCTGGGCCATTTTCGGAAAGTATCCTAATGTCTTTTACCGCTCAGTGTTCCCACCTAGCATGCGAGGAAAAAAATGCATGTTAGTAAGCCCCGCAGAATCATTCTGAAACAATCGCCTCCTGAATGCGTTTAAATTCGCTGCTACTCTCGCCACACTAATATTGGGAGATGATATAGACTCCAACCAAAAGTTTTGGAGAAACCCGACGTTTCGGAACCGACTTGGTTCCTTCATCGGGGGTGACTGCGGAGGCTACGTAGCAGCGGTGTCTTCAAAGCACTCGTGGGGTGGCTAATGATTTACATTACTATTATTATTTACATTACTATACTATTTACATTACTATTATTTCATTGTTGTTTTTTTTTCAGCGTCTTCGCATTATAGATGTGTATCTTTTATTTCGGTGTGAATTGCACCAAGAGCAGCAGTAGCTGTGGTTTTTAAAAAGAATATTAACATTGTGTGGGTGTCGGGCTTGCTGCGCCCCGTCCATCGTGATGCAAAAATGGTGGAGACTTCAAGCCAAATCAAACAACAATTAATTTACTGAGATACCTACAGCACCCAATGGGCATTATTATAGGGGGAACCAAACGTTGCATGCGGCAGGGTTGGCTCAGAAACACGAAGCAGTGGCACGGCAACCATGACCTCCAGGAAGCATCCATCGGCCTGCATGGGTGGCAGCATCTGTCCTTCTTGGCAGCCAAGGCACCTCTTCCCTGTAGGTAGAGTGCAACCCTGCCGTGGTGGTCTAGTGGCTAAGGTACTCGGTTGCTGACCCGCAGCTCGTGGGATTGAATGCCGGCTGCAGCAGCTGCATTTTTGATGCAGGCGAAAATGCTGTAGGCTTGTGGGCTCAGATTTGGGCGCACGTTATAGAACCCGAGGTTGTCGAAATTTCCGGAGCCCTCCGCGACGGCGGCTCTCATAATCATATGGTTGTTTTGGGACGTTAATCTCCAGATATCAACTGAGGACGAGGATGGTGTGAGCCGGCTGGTGAATTGCTCGTTTCTTGGCCAATCCCCCGGAGTGGCTGTGGGCCATGTATTTAGGCCATAATTGTTTGGCTGGCGTTTAAACGCGCCAGAATGTAGATGCCAACCACGATACTTACACACGTGGCATAGTTGATTATTTCCGGCCGCACGCTGTTGGGAGGCGCTCGGACGGTGCTTATCTCGGAGGCCATGCTACTGATGATTTTAAAGGGTATCTTTTAGTGCAGGCATCTCGTGCTTGAATATAAATTTAAAAAGACCATACTGCTAAAAATCACATTAGCAAAATTTTCTGACTTTTTTTCTGCATTGGTGCCCTTGAGCACGGAGTGGATCGAACGACAAACAAGTGAATGAAAATGCCTCTGGTTTGAAGACACCACCAAACGTTGCCGACCACCCTTGAAGTGGCGGCGCGTTTCATCGTAACCAATAAACTGCAGCGCACGCTGACTCTATTTGAACTTTTCATACTGTTAGCGCGTTCAGAAGGTGTTGTAACCGGAGCTATGAAACATTCTGAATTTCGCCAAACTCAGGCCATCCTGCACGGCACTCTAGAATTCCTGTTGACGGTAAAAGTAGCTTGAGGAACTTCACCTTCTCTCAGGGAGAGCCTAACTCTTTCTTTCTTATTCACTTTCGTTCTTCTAGACGTACTTCACCATTCTACCGAGTGTGGTTTTTTATATCGAGCATGGTTTTCCACCTTGTGTCAAGCACAGAAAAGGGGACCAGCAGCTTGCTTAGGTTAATCAGCCTGTCTTTTCTTTATCTTTCTCTATTTATCTGCGGCGTTCTCATGATGGTCTTATCATTTCCACGATGTTGTTCGTACCCTTTGCGCACTGCATTCTATGTCGACTGCCTCCATTTTCCGAAGTGAAACTGACAATGACAAGCTTGAGAGTATCCTAATCACAGCTGCAAATTCCTCCAAACAATCTACAAGCGTAGTTCAAGGTTACCATTTTCACTAAAGCACATCACTCATGTTCCTATTTCCGTCATTAGGAATATGGCGCCTACGCTTTGCGACCAGCTTTTCTTAGCTTCAGAGTCACAGAACGTATCACCAGCTTCGACCAATTGATCTTGGGAAGAAGGTTAGAACCACATTTATCCAAATTTCTTGAAGAACTGTACACAAAAGCAAGCTATGGTCATTTTTTTTAGTATTTCTGCCCCACCGCTGTGGTCTAGTGGCTAAGGCACTCGGCTGCTGACCCGCAGTTAGCAGGATCAAATTCCTGCTGCAGCGGCTGCATTCCTGAATGAGGCGGAAATGTTGTAGGCCCGTGTGCTCAGATTTGGGTGCACGTTAAAGAGCCCCAGGTGGTCGAAATTCCCGGAGCCCTCCACTACGGCGTCTATCATAATCATACGGTGGTTTTGGGACGTTAAACTCCACATATCAATGAATGAATCAATCAATCAATCAAACAATGTTTTACTATTTCTTTTCCCGCTGAGAGCGGCTGGTCAAAAAATTTTCAGAACACGTGATTCGTGGTCAAGTTCTCAAAAATAGCTCGAGAAAATATTGATACGACTTCACGAGATGACCCAACTTCTTCTTGTCTTAAAGACAATGTTCCCATGACCGAGCCTCATCAAGGCATCATCATATATTCTTCAATGCTAATAACATAGCGCACACAGTACTTTCAGCATAAAGTATTTCATTCGAAAAAAGCTCAATATAATCTTGTTTACACACTAATAAGACTGTTCATATGACAGTGCCAATAGCTACACGCCACACTGTCAGTGCCGTACCCCAGTGCCCTACGCCAGTGCGAAAGGGTACATACTTGATTTCTAGACTGACGGGCGAGCAGCATCAATGCCATTGTTAGTGTGGCCGCCAAGGCTTTTATCACCGCCTGTAAATCAATTATACACCGTGAGACTTTTTTCTGCAGATTATGAATGCAAAATGAAGCGTACCAAAGCTTAGCTGTTAAAGGGCACCTAGACAACCTATTAAAACACAGAGAGGGAGCGCATTGTTCACTCTATATACACTGTTCATCTTTAATGCACTGTTCGTGATGCCAGCAGTACATAAGGTGACGTCACGAAAAAAAAAAAGCTCTTGACTCTTTCAATTGCGAGAGCTATCAGTTGTGATTTTTTTTCCTATACGACGTTATGCCTTATCCCGCATGACTATCATGCTCAATAGATTCACTGCATTTTTTGTTTGAGTGCGCAAACGTTGATAACACTGGGTAGCCAAAAAGCGTAATTTTCTGATAGGCTCTACGTTTAGTGCTGACATTGGCCAAGTGTTTTGTGAAAGTGATTGGCGAAAATGAGATAAAAAAAATATTGACTGCGACTTAGCTTAGTTAGCCCCGGTTATGCAAGCGAAAGCTTATTCCCCTTGATTGTGCTTGTTTACCCTCATAGCCGAAGCGCAGTATAACAGCCGAATGACATGGCTAGTTGAATGTTCTGTACTACGTGCACTCGGTGCCGTCATTTCGTCAGTTTAAGAAGCCGTCAAAGCATTCGAATGTGAGGTGCACATTACCGCCCCTAAATCTCGTCAATGTCGTCTTTCTGCATCCTTGTCCTGACGTGCAACTCACTGAAGTTCCCCTTCATCGCTCGTTCCAGCCTGCCACTTAGCGCTCTGGTACTCACGTTTTGGTTTTACCTCGTTAGCAAGACCATTGACGTTCGATTAATGGTCCGACGAAGCCTGCTGCTTCCAGCGCTGGTGCCGCGCAAATGATTTCGGCACAGATGAACCGGCATCCTTGCTACATCCATTCATCGCGCGATCATGGCGAAACTGCTCAACTGAACCATACCCCCGCTGACCCGACGTGACAGAGAGAGAGGTGGGTCACGTGTGTAATCACGTGAAAATATTATGGACACGGCTGGCAAGGCAACGTTTGTGGCTAGTCACGCAAAATGCGTCCTTCGCCTCAAGGCCGCACGGTAAGCGTTCTTCGCGGCTAGGCCCATTCACCGCGATAATCACTTAACTAGGTCAGCAAAGCTCTCACTTTAAAAAACCGCTCTGTCGTCTATGGACTTGGAGGGGTTTAGGGGTTGTTTAAATGCACAATGTTCTTGCGTGATCAGGCCTTCTGTGTATCGAGTTTGTCATTAAATTGCCATGCCATATTTTTGGTGGACACATATATTTTCTTGGGAAAGCAACATCTCTGCGCATGGAATTGGCTTCCGTGACATTGGCTCTTGTGGGTTGCCTACTGAAATTACACTTACCAGCTACACGCTACGCATCTGCCAGCCAATGTACTATCAGCATCAAATGAAACGCGAACAATGGAGCACGTGGCACAAGCCTTATCAATGGCATAGTGCGCGCCGTCCACCAGTCATTCACACAGACAGGCCCGCACATTCGGGGTGGCGGCACTGCACGATCCCCCTATAGTGCAATATTTCTGCTTGCGTTCCAGGTATGGTATTTGAAAGGAACGAAATTAAAAAAGAACATACAAAGGTTAAACTACTGCAACCGAAGGCGAGTATTGTAGCACGGTTTGTCATCACGGAGTCACTCATCACGGAATGCCTGGCAAATTCTATTTAGAGTAGAGCCCCGCCACGGTGGTCTAGTGGCTAAGGTACTCGGCTGCTGACCCGCAGGTCGCTGGATCTAATCCTGGCTGCAACGGTTGCATTTCCAATGGAGACGGAAATGTAGGCCCGTGTGCTCAGATTTGGGAGTACGCTAAAGAACCCCAGGTGATCGAAATTTCCGGAGCCCTAAACTACGGCGTCTCTTATAACCATATGTTGGTTTGGGGACGTTAAACCCCACAAATCAATCAATCAATCAATGACTGAAAATTTCTGAGTTAAATTCTGGCTTTCAGACCACTCTTTTTATTCTTTGAATTTTTTCTCACAAACCAACGCCACCAAGCCCACGCTTTCTCACTTTACCAGTGGCACTTGGTTTTTATAGCGTGCTAACTATTTACTGCGACAATGTGCCAAGTGTATAACGTAAGCTTTTGTTCCTACAAAAGAAGGTTGACTATGTTGTGATAGAGCGTGTACTTCATGTTGCGCAGCTAATGTGTAGCATACTAATAAGATGCGGCAACAAGCACAGGATTTCGATATCACGAGCGATACTCAAAGCGCCTAAACATAACAACCTTACTAGCCTTTACAAGCCTCCATGGCTTTATTCTTGGTTTCATGCCTTATTTAGTATTGTTCAGAGTACAATTTTTTGTATTTCAAATAGCTGCCTATAAATATCATCATAAAAATCGTTTTAATTGTACAAAATAGTGTTTGAAGGTACTTTTATAGTTTCGCTTCATGCATTCAGCATGCCATGGCACTCTCCACTAAGCAGAACACCATGCGTTCTCTGAACTGACTGCTGCATAAAGCATAATAAAGGCAACGTTTTCGGGAAGTTTTCAATGGCCTATTAAATATCTAAATGAAATATGTTGCGCATACTTCAAAGGAAACCTACTTGGTTTCTGTGTGGTCGATGAAGCAGTGCTCGTGGTGGAATTTTTTTCTTCCTTCGAATTTCCCGCATTGTTGCCTGTGAAAAGAACAAAAGCAATGAGAAAAGTTTCCAGTTTGAATTAAGCAACAAGTCACGACTCTAGGCATGGATGCGAAATATTTGAAGCCATATTTTATCATGAAGTGTTGCATGCCTGCGTTCACCGAGACTTCGGTGTTGTATTTCCGTCCGAGATAGATATAGCATTAGTAAACTAAACGCTAATGAATTGAGAAAAGTCCCGCCACCACGAATCACACCTACGACTTCTGAATGTGTGGCTATAGAAGTGCCCGGCGCTCTATCGAATAAAATACTGATGCATATGCACGATACTCCGTAAACGCGCTTTTTATCTCTCGCGTACGCTCTCCCGCCTGAGCTGGCGGGGCTGAGCAACGCCGAATTGGCGGGCCTGACGTCTGTGAGCGATAAAGTGAGCTACAGCACCATGACACTTATTAACGCCGATAGGTGATGCTTCAGTAATATGTACAAACTGGGGATTGTCAAGTTGCAGTAATTTAGGATAGCCCCGGACTATGTGGTAAAGATGTGCTTCCTCTCTTTGGCATAGTTTACAACAGCTGGAGCAAAACGGAGCGGATAATATGTGATAAACTAAATAGGTTGTGCAGGCACTCGTTGATAGCTACCTCCAAATTACATTTTGCCTCTTCTTTAGTGTTTTATGCACTGGGGTGTAGACTGATGCGGCTAGACGATAACGTTGTGTTATCTCCTGGAATATTACCACGTGGTCGCTCGCTGACGGCCATGGGCTCTCCGTTCCGGTACCCGCATTTCGGTCTGTGAATGGCCTTCGGCTCGGAGATTGAATGCTCGAGCCTAGTTGTGGGTGGCCTCGTTACCGGGAAGCGTTGCTTGGGCTGGGGCCCAGGTTATTTGTATGATGACGTGTTTACGATTACTCAACGAAGCGGTACCTGTGGCTGAATTCTTACCTTGGTATGGCTTGTATACCACTGCCTGAAATGGCCATGCCTTGTAAAGCTTGACTTAAGTGCACTTTGAGGGCGTGCACTTTGCCGCCAGTGTAATTCACACACTCTTGCATGGGAAAGCTTAGTGAAACTTGCTGTAAAGCGCTCTTCCCGGCGAATGCGTTCACCAAACTCATTTCACTGCGACGGAGTGTCTAGCCTTGCTATAATAAAGTTACTGTACATATCTAAACTTACGATATTCGTTATTGGGATTGTTCTGATGCAATAAAGCATACTATTACACACAAAATACTCTGTTATTCCTGCTTTCAGGCAATTTACGACTACGACCATTAAGGTCATGCCCTGCACACGCCGAGAAATGGTCGCAGCCGCAGCGTTTGTACGTTAAGTTTGTTATAAGGACTTCTTCTACCTGTTACACATTAGTATATAAAGAAACATGGCCTGCAATATGAAATATTTGTTGTGCTATTGATGTACCCAGCACCATTATTACAATATCTAATCTACACTTCTTTTTTATGTGAAGCAACGTACGCAAACCCAGAGGAACATTTCGGAGGTGCGAGTGCACTCGCTCAATGCGACAGTAAATTTACCGGTTTCGTTGGGCTATTATATTACTCTTGGGCAATAAATGTGCTAACGTTTCTTTTTGTCATTAGGTACAATTAGTAGTGTTTTGAGTGCCGAAGCCTCGATATGATTATGAAGCACACCGTAGTGGACGGCTTTGTTAATTTCGGTCACCTGTGTGACATGGAATACATATGCACGGGCACCTTGAACTTTGTGTTGTCATCGGAAATGTTGCCGTTGCGGTAGTAATCGAACCTTAAACCTTTGCGTCAGGAGCCGATCATAACACCATAATCACTGTAACACAGCGGCTGCTCGTCCTTTATGCTAGTAAATGAGCAATGTTTATGGGTAAGTAACTCAAGAGCTACCTCAATGCCTCTTTACGTTCACCTCCGAAGTCTGTCCATCTATTAAACATGGTCAATGAGTTTCCCAAAGAGTTAAGCGCTATTTTTAATAAACACGTGCATCATTAGTGGTACGAAGAAACAGTAAAACATAATCAAATGTTTGTTTCGCAGTAGAAAACACAAAAGACAGGTTCAGGTCCCTGAATGCCTGTCTTTTCTGGATTTTTCTTCTTCCCAGGTGCACCACCAATATTCTGTTAATTAATATATGAACCAACTCAGCCAAATAGAGAAAAAAAAAACATTTTATTTTGAAACTCAAGTCCGGGTCTGAGCTCAAGGGTGAGTTAGAGCCTGATGAAAGAAGTAATACTCACCGCTTCCCTTGTCCGTAGGTTGTGTACTTTTTGAGCTGTCGTCGCTTGAACTGCTTTTTACAGGCTCTGTGAAATCAAATGTGTTAATTTTATGTCCATAAACCATCACACCATGAGGTCGTCTGAACTGCTCAGCATCAATTTGACAGAAGTTCAAAATATAACGCTTTATCCAGCAGCCTTACTGTTCAAGCCATCTGCCCGGGACAATTGCTTGGCAAAGGAATGCCAGAGAATGAGGCAAGCCCGTAACCAGAAATTTTTTAGGGGGGAGGAGGAACGTTCTTACTTAAGGCCTCGAAAAACCCTTTATTTTGACTGTTTATTTTTGGCAAAACACCAAGCTTTATCAGAATTTGCCTGGTATGAGACTTCCATGCAAATTCCTAACTATGCATCTTTTACTGGATTAAATGAGAGGCTAGTTTAGTGTAGTTTGGTTTAAAAAGTGCTAGAAATACACTTGATTTTTTTCACCTCATTGTCTGGGCTCAAGTGTCTCGTTCTAATTGTGATTCACAAAGAAATTCGATGATGAGCGAAAGCAATTGTTTTAAATTCATTCATAGCAGTTAAGAACTACGATTGTATTCACACGTTCCGTTTTTCCCGGACTTGCTTTCCCCGCCCGTGTTGGCATCGCCATGCCTACGGTGTAGAATATGAAGTGCGTTTCATGCGAATTTTTGGCATAATGCAAGAAAAAAATGCTTTCAATTGAGGAGAGCAACCACCTCAGAAAAAAAAACTGGGGCGGCCGTTTAACACGTTCATTAAAAAAAGTAGCGGTAAACAAGCACACCTAAGACTTCCTCACAGCACGGTAGAATTTCACTAGGCAGATCAATGTAAAGAGTGGAACAACAATCAAGTTTAGCGGGAGTGGTAAGGGTGCATACCTTCATGTAACGATCGCAGATCTTCTATTGCAGTGTCGATAAATAAATGTTGGAGTATCAGTGACGCGTACCAGAAAAATAGAGGAGCCCATTCCCCATAGACCCTTTACGCAAGACATTTGGGCGTCGCCTTCTTGGATGCCGATGTTTTCTTGTTTTTGTACACTGGGACGTCTATTAATAAGGTCATGAAACATCGTATGCAATAACCCAACCATTTTCATGCGTACGTGTCTACCTTAACACTGTCCGTTTATTTGTCAAACATCCAAAACACAAAGGTTAATTGTCCAATATAACGCCACTCAAACATATCCACCTATAGTGAAAGGGGTCCAGAAATGCCTGTCATGTGCTTGCCTGACCTATTTATCCTTTTCTCTTTCTTCTTTTCTTTCTTTCTTCCTTTCTTTATTTGTTTGGTTATTTATTTATTTATTTATTTATTTATTTTTTTATTTATTTTTTTATTTATTTATTTATTTATTTATTTATTTATTTATTTATTTATTTATTTATTTATTTATTTATTTATTTATTTATTTGCGTAGTCACGATGTCAGCTGTGCCTATATACATCATGTCTAACGACTCACGTTCCGGCACCAGCGCACTAAAACCCAAAGCTATGAGCTTATATCTAAGCAACTATAAAACTTGGCAACAAGAAATTGCCGGTGACCTATATGAAAAATCAGATTGCTGTGAAAGAAACAACTCATCACCAACAAGCGCAGAAATGAGAGGGCATCAATCACTGGAAAAAATGCGCATACATTTATGCATGTGACTGCAGCACCTAAGAGGGATGCATTCTGTGAACCCAAATCATCAATTCGTCTTAGCTTCTGTGACGGGTCTTTCACATATGATAACGCTGTCCTCGCAAATAACAAGCTTCAATCGAAAGAGCGTCGCCAGCGGGCAATAGGAAGCATACGGCATGGTGGCTTACTTTAGTGGTGCAATACCTTATCTAATATGAATGTTTGAGTTCCTCGTGACTATATGCTCATATGAAAATTTTCATGCCAGCAGCAATATGCTAGAAAGTGTAATATTGCTTTCTATAAGTACGCCACGTTTTAGTACCTACTAGTGTATCAGGACCCAGTTCCTCCCACAGTTTGGAACGCCAACAGAGCAGGCATTGTTTATGCCATTGATCAAGGGAGCATGCCAAAATATTGAGGCTTAATTGCCTAGATGATACAATGGCCTTGCTTGTCAATTCTATTGTCACATTGGCGGATATTTTCTATATAAGTGTACGCAAGCATTACACAGCAAAGACATCAAGAACGTGATAACGAATGAAATAGTTAAATAAACCACTTGCAATGTAAGATATTGTAGCAGCTTTTAAATGTACGATTTTATTCTTGCAGCAAGCCTATTGACGTTTCTTTTATAAAACCCTTGACGATGCCAGCTGACTCAATAAGCAGTTTTTTATCCCTATTCGCATATAGCTGTATCCCTTTATTAGAAATTCTTAGTAATATTGATGAAGTTTTTCTATGTTTTTGTTCTGGTATTCTTAGGCACATGAATTGTAGTAATACTCACTGCTTTTTTTCATCCCGGAATCTGCAGTTTTCCCACCACTTGAAGCTGCATTGTCCACACCTAAGAAAATGAAGGAAACAAATTGTACAACCACATTACATATTGCACAAAGAACTTGTGAAAGTTATTATTAGTGTAAAAGTTAAACGCGAATATCTGACAGATTTTGTAGTCCCCCTGTGTTCCGTTACAGCCGTGACAATTAGATCTTTTGGTAGGGGAAACTAATCTGCAACAAAATTTTTCCATAAGTGGTCAATCACGAGTGTGCTGACGAGACCTGCAAATTTACATCGTTCATCTGATTCCATCCACAATTTTGATGAATTAGATTACACTATAAATTTGAGCGTGAGCTTCCTTTAAAATAGTTGCTACTTCCTGTTTTCACGAATAATCCTTGTAGTTTTTTGTTAGCTTTGACGAAATTAACACTCCTATAAAATGCTTTATGTCACACTGTGACACAAAAAATAATGAGAACCAATAGAAAATAAAACCTAAGGAGGTATGGGGGATGTTATTTGTATATTTGATTATATACATGTGAAGAAAAATAAAGTGAGCAAGACGTCAACTTGCCGTTGACGGGGACCGAACTTGCAACCTTCGAACAACGCCTCCGATGCTCTTTTTATTTAGCTAACGCAGCGGACGTCCTCTGGCAAACCTCACCGGGTAGGAATTTGATAGTCAATTTCGTGCCAAAATCACGATCGCACTGCAAACGTAAAAAAATATATATAGGAGGTTTTCTTCGTTCGTAGTGCGATCGGGATTTTGGTGATAAATTCACTATTGAGTTCTGCCAGCTACTAACTAGCCCAAAAGCGAGTACTATTTACCGGGTAGAACGGTACCTTCATACAATGCCTAGTCACCGTCGCTGTCAGCCATGACGGTAAGTGGGGAACACTCTTTCGCAACTAGCGCCCCGTAACGCGGGAGCTTATTAAGAGCTACCGCGGCTGACCCATAATGTGTCGCGTAGTACTGTTAGGTATCAAGTCTGCCAGTACGACACCTTCGCTATGAATGGCTACGAGTGGCGCTAACACTTGCAGGTTTAAATTCTCAAATATACTTGACAAAATGCACAGTTGGACGACCGCCACCGTGTAGCTCAACTGGTAGAGGATCACACGCGTTATTGAAAGGTTGCAGATTCGGTTGCTGCAGGTGGCAAGTTGTCTTCTCGTCCACTCTGTTTCTTTTTTTCATATTTACCTCCTAATTACTACTGCTAAGGTCCGCTGTACTTTTCCTCGCTTTATTGCCTGTTGGTAGTCATTAATGGTATGTTTAAGAAGTAAACTACTGCAATCACTTGCTCGCCACAGCGAACTTCTATACAATGAATTACGCATGTTTTTTTAACGTCTGCACGCTTGTATTTGATTAATCCTAATTGGTAACTTCGTTGATAATCCGAGCTCTCACGACGCGATGCAACTCTGCTGCGTTGCATGTGTTTGGGCATGGCTTTTAAGAATGCGTATTTCCATCTTAATAGAATACATCTGATTAGAACAATTTAACTGCCGCTTGGGCGAGTCAGTTCATGACTAAGACAGATTTACCAGCGCACAAAGACAAAACACTTCAAAAAAGAAATACACACGTGGTGCAGTGGGTGTTTTCCTTTGTAAGTTATTCGTATTTTTGCGCAGCTAAATTTGTTTTAATCATTGGAATCGCCACCAGCTCAACATGCAACTTATGCGCCCGGGAGGAGGCGCTTCAGCACACTCTATGCATCTGCCCATCCCACCAAGACTCAATGTGATGATCTTGGAGCGAGGCTCCATCATCTGGATTGAAGATCGCTAGTCTGGCATATTGGCCTACGGTTTCGAGCAGCACAGAGCAACGAAAGCCCTGTTGTGCTTCTTGAAGATGGCCGGACTTCCCGAGTGCCTTTGAACTAACAGCGCGAGTATGTGTTGTGCGGGTTGAAACTCACTGCTCATCATTCTATTTTTTTTACACTCGTCCTTTCTTCTCCATCTCCTCTTTTGTTTCCCCTTTCTCAGGGGCGAATCCAGCCACCCACATTAAGGGGGGCGGTCGCTTGGGTCAACACCGCAAAGGTGGCGCGGTCATTGCCTTTCTGTTTTTACTAACAAAAAACTCAGTAATGACATAAATACTGTTCATCTGCGCTCATAGTGGTCACTCATTTGTCCTGACGGGTGTAGCAGGTGGACGGCAAGCACTGAAAAGAGGGAAAGAGGGTGCTGACAGGCTTTGGGGGGGGGGGGGTGATCGCGTTTACCGTTTCTTCTCTGGATCCGCCACTGCCCTTTCCTCCATCCCACGTGTAGGGTAACCAAGCGAGCCCTAGCTTGGTTAACTTCCCTGCTTTTTCGATTCGTTTTCCCTCTCTATATTCACACTAAAAGCAAGTTACTTTGTTGCAGGATAGAAAATGCAGTGATTGAATATCCCGCAAAAGAAAAGCGCCGAAAGAATAAAGGTTAGTGGATAGGAAATATAGTTGGTAATTAGCTAAAAGGGATTCGGCGTGGCAGCGTTGAGTAGCCGGAACGTCAGGATTCAACAGTCATGCA